GACTGCCTTGGCCCATTGATAGGACAGAAAATTAGGTAGACGGAGAAAACAGAACAGAATGCTGGGAAGAGGGCTGTGAGGCAGACGCCATGGAGCCAGCCACCAGGTCAGACATGCTGAATCTTTTCCGGTAAGCCACCACCTCGTGGTGCTACAGATTATTAGAAATGGGTTAATATCAAGATATGAGAGTTAGTCAGTAGCTAACTCTCTAGAGATAATGGGCCAGGCAGTGCTTAAATGAATACAATTTGTGTGTTGTTATTTCTGGGACTAAGCTAGCCGTGCGGGATCTGGGCAAGATGAAAAGCAGGCCTGCCCGCAGCCCCTCACTACATCCAGTATCTTTAAGGTCCCTGCCCCTTAAGTAGAGGGATGGAAAGGTGCTTTATATGAATTTCAGTAAGTCAGAAAACAGTCTACTAGATCTCAAGTAAGAGTCTTAGTATAGTGATTGATGCGCAATTTTACATAAGATCACTAGAAATCAACCTTTCTTTAAGATGTGTATTTGAACTGATATTAGGCCTATGTTAGTCACTCATCACTAAATATCCTTAGGATAAAGTAGATTATAGAAAGTGGTACTCTCCTTCTACTTCAATTTACAGGACTTACTACTTTATGATTTCATAAATAAAATATCTAATTGTATACACAATAAACACAATTAAATAATATTTGGAAATTCTATAGAACTGAGTATATAAGCACCACTATGTGATTATGGGAAACTGACTTTGAATGAGAAATGGAACTGTGAACTCACCCAGCCGTAGTGGATGCTCACCTTCCCTTCTCTCTGAGACAAGACTGCCAGGTCCCATTCTAAATATATGACTGTAGTAACCCCTTCCATACACAATAATTCTTATTATTTAAATGAAAAACTAAAAGAAAAGCTTATTATGCTTCCTAAAATAAATCTGTACTAACAGTTCATACAACAGAAGAACAAGGAATGGGAGCTCATGGGTGTTATCCTCTTAATATATGATTTTGTTTGCCACATTCTAAGTTACAAATTCAAATATAAATGATTTTAGCAGCAGAAAATGCCTAAGAAAACTCATAATAGTGTTGGAGAGTTTGCTCAGATTTAAGGGCACTTACTGCTCTCGCAAAAAAAAAAAAAACCCGAGTTCGGTTCCCAGTACCCATATGACAGATTAAAACCACCTGTAACTCTAGCTCAAGGGGACTCAGCACACTATTCTGACCTTTGCAGGGACCAAGCATGCATGTGGTACACTTTCATACATGTAGGCAAACACTCACACACATAAAATAAAAATAAATGAATATCTTTTTTAAAAAAAGAAAGTTCATAAGATAAAATGCTTTGAAATGCTAATTTATGTTAACTGTCATTGAAGTTAACCCTCCTTCATGTATATTGGACCTTAAAATAGTGCCCGATAGTATTATGAAGCTATCTACAATTACGTCTATGTATAAAATTTTATTATTTGTCTTTATCTGTTTTTATCTCTTTGTTATATTTTTGTTTTATAACACTGATTTTATGTTTCATAGTGTTTCACACAATGAGTATAGTAACAAGTACATATTAGTCTAAATAAATAAATGACCATATACATATTGTGTGAGCAAAGGTTTATTAATCATATGAAATAGTAAATGTTGTTTAGAGATCACTGCTCCATAGGAGAGCAATTAGAAACGCTGCACTTTGTTCTTGGATGAACCCTAGAGCCTCTCAAATGCTGGAAAAGTGCTCTATAACTGAGCCACATGCCCAGTTCTGCTTCGAAGTCTCACTGAGAAGCTTTCTCGGGACCAGGGTTCTTATGCTTTTCTCTTCTTGGGCTTTTCCTTTGTTACAATGCAGGGCCATACTTTACCCTCTCAGACAGGTCCCACACCCTCCCTGTCATTAATCCATTCAAACACACTCATAAACCACATTCTTTGTGAAGAGTGCAGTGGCACAGAGCCCAGAGCTTCCTCCTGGCAACAAGAGTTTCCCAAATCGGCAACAGGAGCACTGAAGTGTTGCTGGTATTTAGCTAACTCTTGCCCTCCCAGGGTGTGTGCAAACTATGCAAACTAGCTTATGGGAAGAGGTCTGTCATTGCTCAAACTAAAAGTCTAGACATGCAAACTACTTCTAGCCAATTCCTGTATAAAACAATAAAAGTATAGACTTTTCCCTGTATTTCTTCTGCTTCCGATGAGTTAAAACAATGTCATGACATTGTCACCGGCAGAAGAGGACACGGAATACAATAATAATTAAACTATACCGAGTATTTGTTATGACTCTAATTTAAGCAAATTATTTGAGTAGAAAAACATACTTAAAACTTATAAGAATTGTTAATGACAATAACACCTCTTAGAAAAAACAACTAAGGCATAGAGATGTTTACATTCTGTTTATTTTTTGTGATAAAAGGTACATGGAGGCAGAATTCAGTGATTGGCAATCTGATCAAAAAGACTGTGTTACAAATCATGAATGTTAGCCTACTCATTCTTCTTGCAGAAATAACAAGTTTTATGGTATTTTACCCTAACCCTAATAAAATATATTATGTATTTTACATGTTGGATGCAGCCAGTTTGATTGATAGCATCTCTAAGTGTCTCTCTGAGTTTACAATATTGTAGTCAGCTTAGGTTGTTAACGTGACTTACCTGGATAAAAGGGAACCTCAAACAAGGAATTGCCTCCATCAGATTGGCATGTGGAAGTATTTTGGTTGCTAAATGCTACGGGCGGGTCTAGCCCACTATGCAGGAGGGCCAGGATGTATAACAAAGACAGCTGAACCTAAGCATGGAGCCAAGCCTGTATGCAGTGTTCATCTATAGTTTTTGTTTCAGTTCCTTCTTCAAATTTATTCCCTTAGTGATGAATTATTACTGGAAAGTACAAGATGACATAAACCTTTCCTCCCCAAGTTTCTATTGGTCATGGTGTTTATCACAACAACAGAAACCTAACAAGAGCACGCTAGATTGGTTTTACTATAGTTTCCCAGGAAACCTTAAAGAAGACAAATCATGAAAGTTCTATGTGAGGCTTGAGTACAGGAATGTGTTGTCTCTGCAATATTGCCTTACAATAGATGAAATCACTGTTGGTTCAGCCCATAAATTCAGCTCTCCTTCTAACCCACATTGCATGAATCTAACTGATCTTGCCACTGCCTGACTACTTGTTTCTGTCAGTAAGTCTCCCAACAGACTGTGTTCTGTACAATCCTAGACCTATTTATCTTTTTTAGTGGTCTCCAGACACTTGGGGCAGGTTGGTAGAGGGGCCAAGCATTCTCATACACTGAGACTGAATTGTTCTGTAACATATAATTACTGTAGCTATTTGGAGCATACTGTTTAATAGTTTTGACAAATGTATATGCTCAGATACTTCTTGAGTTAATCAAGATGAAAAATACTCTCTCTACTCTCTCAGCCCTTTTAAGAAATAATACAGAATAAGATTTTAGTTTTTGTTTTCTGCTTGTTTGTTTTTTGTTTGTTTTGCTTTGTAAAGGATCATTGTCCTAAAGTCAATCTTGTTTCTTAGCAATCTAACCACTTCACCTTTCTTATGATTCCCATTTGCATGATATAATTTTTACTTCTTTACTTCTTGGAGAGCCAAAGTTATATTTAAGTTTTAATTATTGTGTTGGAGAGATCTATGAAACAAACAAACAAACAAACAAACAAGAAGCCTCTGATCTGTAAGATCTGTAAGTCCCTTGCCCAAGGACAGATAGTTCCTAAAATACTGGAGGCTACTGCTTATGGGAGATAACAAGCCAGGTAGTTTTGTTCCCCTAAACAAATTTGTTTGACCCATCTGCATCAGATCCATGTGGGCGGGAGGTGCATGGACAGGAAGTATGTCCCTTGCCCCTGATTGGATATAGGTGAGGCGTACATAAGCAGGAAGTATATCAGAGGCATGCTTGTCCTGATTGGACCTCTTGGGAAATGTGGTGAATTATGGCCTTTGCCTTTTTTAAAGCCCTGCAAACTGTGACTCAGGGCCATTTCCTGGGAGCTTGGGTATGGACCTGGACAGAGTTTATCTACTTGGCCAGTATTTAATTAAAGTTTGCTTCAAATTTGACTTTAAACTGTAGTAGTGATCTTATTCTCAACTGGTGGGATTAACATTTGTGTGATATGTGACATCATATTTAAAGGAAATTTGTTATGAGCAGTTTGTGTGTGTGTGTGTGTGTGTGTGTGTGTGTGTGTGTGTGTGTGTGTGTTGATGGGAACTTAAGACTTTCTAGGCAGTATTTTAGCACTGACGTATAACTCAGTCTTCAGTGATTTCAGACTGAATCTCACTATGTAGTTCAGGCTGTTCTCAAACTCTTTGTCCTGCTGCTTGTCTCTCCCCAGTGCTGAGATTATAGACATCTGTCACCAGGTCTAGCTGACAACATATTCTTTCATTCTGATCTGTTATTATTTGTTTTCTTTTTGCCTTATCCATCTGTCCTTTGCTCCTTCATCTCTTTTTATTTATTTTCCTTCCTGTTTTGTGTTACAGTCATTCTTCACTCATTTGTAGTTGTATTTCCTTTCATTCTGACTCTGGAAAAAATAAGATTTAAGACTATTTTATATTCATTATCCAATTAATTACTTGCACATCTTGTTTATTATGAGTGGTTCTTTTAGCAAAGAGCAAATGTCATATTTTTGTAACAGAGTGTTGACTCTTCCATTTATAGGATTTTCAGGCTAAAGTCAGACTCATTTATCTGAAAAACTCAAACATTGCTGCCCAGCTCTGCCTCCCTCTCCCATTTCTGTCTTTGAACACATGAAAGATACTTGTATCTCCAAGTGTTATTTCAGTAGAATTGTTTTTTATTTGCCTTGAGTTAGAACCATGAAAGCATCTAGTGATTGCTTCATGAGGGTTAGGTAATGTTTTCCTACCAGCAGACTGCTAACATACACAAAGATCAAAGATCTCTCATCTTGTCAATTCAGGTTTCCATGAAGTTAAATCTGAAAAGTGGCAAAATAATGCAGACACACGAGACAATTATAGGACTCTAAAAATGAACCAAAAAGATGACCCAAGGGAACACTGTCATTTCTGAATGATGAATAACAAGTGAGCCTGGTAAAATAATTTGTCTAGGGATATATTCTGTGTTTTGAACACGGTAAGTAAACTTTTAGTTATAAAGAAAATCTTTTCATAATAAGATTTTAATATAGGGCATTCAGAGATGAGCATATTAGTCTAAGTACTGGATTTAGCAGATTTAAGATTAACAATACAAATCTCTGGGTTATAGAACTTGGTTCATTATCATGTTTACTGTGCTCTTTTTTTTTTTTACAACCCTTGAAGAAAGCAATAGGGCTGAAAACACAAACCTATGTAGAAATGAGGGTATTACTGGAAGAAATATCAAACTTTGGAATAAATGGTTAAAAATCTCCTCGTGGCTAAACTGGAAGACTAAGTATAATTATGACATGGTATTTTCAGAAATATATATATATATATATATTTGTATATATGTATAAATTTTAATTCAGTTGTGATCTGTTAAATTTTTGACAAGAAACTATTCAAAGGAAATCTTGATGTGAGACCTTGCCCAGTTGTTTATGATTTGTCCCCTCTTTGAAAGAAAATGTACATGTTTGGCTTTGGTGCTGGAAGTTCTAACAGCCACAAGCAACATCAAACATAGTCTTTCCGGCTGAACTGGGTCCTGCATGACACAGAATCCTTTAGTTTGCAAAGGTATTCATGTAGTTGTACATTTCTTTTGAGGTAAAATCATTGCCTTAATATATTTGACCTTGTTTAAAAGTCTGGAGTTAAGCCAGAGGAGTTTGAAACATGACTTGATGGCAACTTTGAGCATACTTCAAGGGGCAGACTCAAGCAACTATCTGTCTTGCAATAAGACTTTGCTAAACCTACAAGAGATACAATTTCAGAGGAAAATGTGCACTGCCAAGTGGAGTTTATTTCTACAGATAAGTCACATATGTTAAATGTTAAAATAAAAACATAAAAAGTGTCAATTAAAGGGATTTCAAAGAAATGCTTGGCTTCCTATTCTAATAAAGAAATATTAAAATCTCCGTGGCATTGCTCTGTGTTAACTGACTGTCTTAAATATACTGGTAGAGAATAAGGCTTATGATATGCTAAAAAGACATTTGAGTTTTGTTTGTTTGGGGGGGGTTATTTTGTTTTGCTTTGCTTTGCTTTAAGAAATCATTTTACAAGACTATATCTTTTCTCTTTGTTTAAGGTAATGTATTATTATTATTATTATTATTATTGGTTTATGACATGGGTTTGATTATTTTCTCATCTTTAAAGACAAGAACTACCAAACTAGAGCAGGATTGTTTTACAAATAGCAAGTTTTCCGTGTGTTATGTGTGCCCATATCATGTGACAGCTCTTCTTTCAAATGTTTAGAGAGTAGGTTTGTGGATCAGATTCCCATGAGGAAGTAATTGTGAAATTAACTGTTGTGTACTTTTGCCCCCACCCCCTTGCCGATTTACTGATTTTTTTTCGCCTTTTATTAGGTATAACTGTCATTTGTGCTTAATGTTACTATAAAGTGTTTGTTCTGCGTGATAATACTTCCATGCTGGCATCACATGCTAATTTTAGCCATTGGCTTCCTAGAGATCTGATGTGAGGGAAGAGCAGGTATGGAGACAGAATTCAGTTTGAAATGCAATGTTCACCTTAGCAATGTCCACAGAAAGGTGCCATGGGATTTCTGGTTTGCACACTCTTACCATCCCATACCCAGGGGGTAAACGATGAAATAAAACACGGAGTTCCTATATGATCTTAGGTCTCTAAAATCCACAATATGTTAGATGATTAAAAACAATAGAACTTCCCATGGGATTTGTCAGCATATCCATTAAGTATAAAAGTGATGTAAGAAATTAGGAATTTAAGGTAACTATCTTTTCATAAAAACATCAGCTGTGAAACACCCGAAGACAACATAATACGTGGGTACACATTAGAAGGATCCTTTTAATTATAAAAATGAGACAATAAGACAAGATTTAGTAAGTAATATTGGACTTTGAATTGAAGCATTTAGATATTACAGTAATAAAGAAAATTTAAATTGAAAAAAACTTAAAGTGCAATTATTATATATGCTATATTCATTTATATGGAAAATTGTTCAGTGAATTATTAAGAACAATAAGATATGGGTCAGTGAGATGACTTAGTGGAAAAATGCACCTGCCTCCACTGTTCCTGATGATCTGAAGTATCCACTCCCCCTAGGGTTCACAGGATAGGAAGTGAGAGCTGACACTGGCAAGTTGTCCTCTGACGTCCACATGTGTACTGTGCCATGGCATTACTAATAATAATTTAAAATTTATCATAAATATATAGAAATATTAAAGTTATTATAAAAATAATAATGCATAAGTTTTTAAAGAATAGTAAGATTCCAGGAAGACTTCAGTTTGTAAGAATCAAATGCATCTGCACATAGAAAGATTGACTTAAGAATACCTCTGTAGACACTTTTGCCCTAAAATAACCACCTAGAAAAATATTTCTCTAGAGTCAGCTGCCAAAGTACAGGAAGGCCACCACAGCTGTGGCAGAAGGGGCCAGATAACGTCTCAAGCTAGAGATAGATACTGTAAGTTTCACCCACATGGTCATGTTTTTTTCAGACATTCAGCATACGAAAGTTATGGAGATACAAAGGCCTTCGCTGCGATTTTAAAAAGCTTCTGAGGCCAAGCAATCGGCGGCAACATTACATTTTCTTCAAGGATGTACTGAGAGATCATTGTGTAAAGGTAAACCCTAGGTTGCAATGAAGGCAGCAAGATATTGGAGGTGTTGTGACTATGCAGCATCTTCAAAGAGAAACAGCCAGCCTGGAGTGGAGATGGACTGAGCCAGGTTTCTGTTTCATAACAAGCAGAACTGTGGTGTATGGAGGAGCAGGCTACGTCCTTCCGCCTGTCTAGCTTAACCCCTGAAATAATCACAGAGAAACTGTATTAATTAAATTACTACCTAGCCCATAAGCTCTAGCCTTTTATTCGCTAACTCGCACATCCTGATTTAACCCATTTTTAATAATCTGTATATCACCACAAGGTTGTGGCTTACCGGGAAAGATTTAGCATGTCTGACCTGGCAGCTTCATGGTGGCGGTTATTTTATTTAACTAATGAAAGCAACACGTAGACAGAAGAACCTCCTACACCATTTTCCCTTTTTCTGTTTAAACATAAAGGAAGACTTTAAATTTAACATAGTAAAATTACATATAACAAAACAGTTTTCAAGCAAGCATTACAGTTATAATATTTAGATCTATTTTGTCTTTTATTATAACAAAGGAAAACTATAACTATGACTATACATTTTTTAGCTCCATTAAAGACTCCAGAAGGATATAGTATTACCTTAGTAAACAAGAAATAAGCAACTTCTAAACTCTAGAGGTGACAGAGACATCTTGCTGCCTGTACAGTCACCCAAAGTTCTTTTGTAATGTTGGGGCATCCATCTTTAGCCTGCAGACCCATAGTATCCAGCAGACATTTCCATGAAGCAGGAAATTTCAAAGACAGATTAGTCACTTCTTTTTTGTCCTGCAGAATGTCTCAGACTCTTTCATGAATCAGGAATCCCAAAGGACCATCTCACCTTTAGGCAAGTTTAGCAGTCCTCTCTTTGCAGGTTCCTTGTATCCAGTTTATGCAACAGTCCAGGCAAGAGCAGTTTCTTGCTCAAATGGCTAACCAACTCCATAAGGAGTCTCTTTGATGCCTATATTCCTCTTGAAGTAGATTGGTGCTGCCAAGAGCAGATGTGTCTCATTGTCATGAAAAGCCCTACATTATTAAAACATTTTAAGTGCCATATTTTGTAGTCTTTGAAAGATATGAAGAATACCTATCTAACTGAAATATATCTATATATATCTAGAAAATCTAACATGACTACAAGCTTGCTTATTATCGATAATTTTCCAGTAACAACCTTTATTTCCTAATTATACATTACATTTTTAAATGAACTACACAATCACAATATCTTAATCAAGAGCAGAAATCAGAACTGGAGGACTGGAACTGCCCAAATCTGTGGGAGCCTAGGTAGTGTCACCAAGAGCTGCAGAGAGAAACTGCAAGATTTGGTGCTCAACTTATTGGATTTCATCTAACTTTGGCTTTCCCTAGGTGACAGCAGCAAGAATCTGGAAGCTACACTTGAAAATTCACCTTGCAATTCAATGACATCATTATGGTAGCAAAGGCTCATATCACAAGTAGAAATGTTCTGCAAATAATGCCACCTACTCACCTCCAGTTTCCTCTGACATGTTACATGTTATTCTGTGATAAAATCAGCATACACTCACCAAGACTCAAACACCTTCTAAAGCTGCTGCTTACTTATAAGTTGTAGATTATATATCCTGAATCATGCTTCACTGTAAGTTCATGTCTAAGAATATACAAATATGCAAAATCCATTCTTATGTACATTTTGCCATTCCCTTTGATGATTACTACCTTCTTGTACATACCCGTGGTAAAAGAAAACACTTTCAGTGAATGTTTGAGTCTTAGGAATGTCTTAACTTACTGAGGTTATTATATATACAAATATTAACACCAATATTAACCAGTCACACCCAGTTAAGGCATGGCTACCTGGAGTCCAGGAAGAAAAACAGACAGTGACCAGGTGTGCGCTCTCGCTGGACAATCCCTGCCAGACATAGGAAGCTGGGCTTCCCATTCTTGTAGCGTGAGTTTTCCCATTATAACAATTACACACGTAATTGTTATCCTTAAGCCGGCCTGATTATTTCCCATATTGAGCTACTTTGCAACACCTTGAAATATTTTCAAAACAGTAGCTTTTCACTTTTAAATATTAATATGGTAAACAGAAAACTTCGGGAATTATGCCATTTCCTAAATTATACAATTTAAATGTGTGCAAATACACCTCTGAATGATTATAAAAACAAGGTAACTGCAATATCTTCCACTATCTTGTAGTTTTGTTGTTTGTTTTAAAGCCATCTGCACAGTCCAGGATACTCTTCAAGGTTTGAAGCTGTCCTCTTGTCTCCTCCTCCTGAATGCTGGCTACAAAGGTAAGATCAGTTTTACGTAGTTTTGGAGATTTCTCCCAAAGTTTTCTCCCCATAGTAGGTCTACAAATTGATGACCCATGTGCTCTATGCTATGGTTAAGGGGAAGGTTTTGTTGTTATGGTCTTACTGTAGATATGAGGGAGAGATCTGCCTGAAGCATTTGGAAGAGTTCAGAGCAGAGAGGGAAAGCAATAGACTGAACATGGCCAGCCGACTAGAACTAGCCATGAAGGAAACAGAAACAGAGCAGAACAGAGAGAGGTGGTGGGTGAGGGGGGAGATCAAGGGATGACCGCAAAGACAGTGGGCAGAAGAGAGGCCAAGAGAGAGCACATAACAGAAATAGCTGGGTTATAATGAGAATAAGAAGCTGGAGGGAGGGAAGCTACTGAGCTGGAGGAAGTTTGGGGTGGGAGATGAGGCAAGAAGAGCTGAGAAGAGCCAGATATCCAGCTTTAGTCTGATGTGCAACAAGTACTGGGGGAGCCTGGAGGCCAGCCCATGATGTGCAACAGGTACTTGTGATACTGAGGGAGGCCAGGATGAACATGCAGCCCCCTCCTTGCTACAGCCAGTGTGTGCTTTTGTATGCTAATAGACATCGCAAATAGCCATTTGTTCCTTCTGTCCATGGAAAGGGGAATAGCTCCCTTTGGTAAAGGGCAACTGGCTTCACAAGTTTCTGAGGAATGATGGCTTTTGTCTGATGGCTAGAATTTGGGGAAATTGAGTTTCCTCTGGTCCTGACAGAAAGCATGCACTCTGCAAACTCACCAACATGTGTAGCTTCTAAAAAGTTGCTTGCCAATGAAGAAAACATAAGAGAAGGACACAGTTTCAAAAGTAATACTATGTTTGCCCATCAACTAGTATAGGAAAAATAATCAGAAATTTTGATGACCTATTTACAGTTCATAATGATGGCACTGCCCAAATTCTTTTGGCGCTTGTTCCCATAAATTGTCCAGAAAATAATACGTTGCAAAGGCTTAAAGTTTATCTGGAAAATGTTTATGTAAATTTCTCATATAACATTTTCTTTCTTCTGTAAAATGAATATGGAAGTATACATTCCAAGCTTGTGATTTTCAGTAACCTCAGATCATCTCTTAAAATTTGGGGGAAAACACTGAATTGACAGGAGTGCGTATGTCCTAAGGTAGTTCTAATAATCTATGGCTCTATAGAAGCTTAGCCAGACTACAAGATCTTTTTACCTTTTATTGATTCTTCCCCATGGTCTGTGTGAGAGATGAAGTATAGTTGATTGGCTTGTCTGACCTATAATCTGTAGGGTCCAAAGGAAACTCCATTTCTACAAATTCTGTTAGACAAAAGCCAGCATTCCTCAGAAACTTGTGAAGCTAGTTCCCCTCTACCAAAAGGAGCTATTTCCCTTTCCATGGGCAGAAGGAACAAATGGCTATTTGTGGTGCCTATTAGCATACCCAAGTACATGATGGTCTCCAGGTTCCCTCGGTATCACAAGTACCTGTTACATGTATCAGAGTTGTGCTGATTATCTGGCTTCTCAGACCGTCTCACCTCCTTGCAGCCTTAAACTCCCTCTAGCTCAGAAGCTTCTCTTCCCTAACTCTCATTCTCCTCATCACCATGCTATTTTGACTATGAGCTCTCTCTTTGTCTTCATCTCATGATCGCCCACCCCACCTCTTTCTCACTCTGCTCTGCTCCTGCTTCTTTCATGGCCAGTTCTAGTATTCTGGCCATGTTCAGTCTACTACTTTCTCTCTCTGCCCTGGATTCTTCCAGATGCCTCTGGTGGTTCTCTCTCTCATAACTACAAAAACAAACAAACAAACAAACAAACAACAACAAACCCCTTCTCTCAGCCATCATTATTAGTTTATACCTGACTCTACTGCCCTGCCCTCTATGGTCCTTCATCCTCCACAGAAACTAGAGGATTTAAAGACACTTTTTTTAAATCAAGAATTATGGGATAATTTAAGTTATAAGAGCTAGTTAACAATAAGTTTATAATTAATATAATCTCTGTGTGTTTCTTTGTGACAAAACACAAGATTGGTCCACACTTGTGTCAATGAGTGCATTTGAATGTTCTCCTGGACTACTGTATATGGGTTTTCTTTAAATGTGAAGGAGAACTCTAAAAGCTATGAGTTTTAGCGACCATCCTGTTGGAACATGATCTGTTTGCCTGGAATAACTTGCCCTATCCCCACTGGGATAAAGCCCTATTCCTACCTCCCCAATCCACACCCTCTCAGAGAAACCTCCCAAAGTTGAGTTACACCCAGTTTGTGGAGGATGCATCATTGTCCTTTGCTACAATTTGCCCCGCCTCCAAACCCTGCCCTCTCAGAGAAACCAATGAAAGCCCAGGTCTGCTACAATCTAAGACTCTGGTCAAAGGCTTAGCATAACACTAACCCTCCTTGGGGCATGTCATCACACCACACCCCTATAGAGTATTTAAACCATCACCTAGAACCACCTATAGAAGTCAGCTCAATTTGGCAAATAACCATGCTAGTTTAAAGATAAGCAATTATATTTTTACTTATTATAAGGGGAAACTCATGCCACAAGAATGGAAAGTGCAAGTTACGCTGTGTCCTGCAGGAATCACAGAGAGAGAGAGAGAGAGAGAGAGAGGGAGAGAGAGAGAGAGAGAGAGAGAGAGAGAGAGCACCTGGTCTGTCCCAGTTTTTCTCCTGGGCTCCAGGAAGCCATGCCTTAACTAGATTCCACTTCTTAAAGATGATTGGTTAACAAAGCTTCCCTCATCAACTCCCCCTTTTGTCTAAACAAGATTGAGCCAAACCCAATACAAATATATACAATAGGAACAGATACCAAGTATAAAATGAAAAGCAACATAAGTAATATTAAGCAAGGAACACATGACAAATGTTTTAATAAGCATTCTGTTTCAAGGAGTCTAAATCTTGCATCAGAAATAAGCGTGGCTAAATCATGAGGAAAGTAACTACGACTATCTAATCTTTAACCCCATCGAAGACCTGAGAAGGGAAATAATATTACTTGAGCAGGCAAGAAGTGCAATCATGCAGCTTCCAAAGTGAGCAATATATGACAGAGACAATTGGGTACCTGAGCAATCACCCAAAGTCTCATTTGCAATGTTGAAGCAACCAACTTTGGCTAAGGCCTAACATAGCTGACAGACCATTTTTAAAGGCAGGAACTTTTTTACAAATGACTTACCCTGTCTTGATAGGTTGTTTTTGAACCCCTGGTGGATTCGGTGGACATGGACTGGCTAGAGGAGGCGAAGATGGAGCTGCACAAGGTGACCAAGTTTGCGGAGAACCAGGAAACACCGCTGCTGGTCATCACTAACAACCACCATGTGATTTCTCTCCTGCTCCCTTTCCCGAGAGTCATCCAGGAGTGCTTAGCTCAGATTAAACCTGGTGCTTTACTTTTTAGTTAGGCTCTATTTGGATAACTGCATCAGTGGGGAAACCTACTACCAGGGGTTCAAGAAAACCTATCACGATCTATGAATGAAACTATAAGAGGAAAATTCTGAGTGCTTGTAAGAAAACTCAAAGAAAACAAAGGAAAAGTCGTATGACTTCTGTTGCGCCATACCATGGGTTGTTGGTGGTGCTTCTGGCCCCTCCCAGGTTTAATAAGTAGGAGTGGGCTTGCTTCAGATTGCCCATCCTTTCTATTTTTCTTCAGATGATGTTTCCAGACATGGATTGTCCTTGTGACTGTATACAGTCTAAACTCAAGTGAACTTTGTTTTCTTTAACTCTCAGAATAGCCTCAGAATATCAATAGTCTAATGCTCTGACTATTAGACTAAGGACACTATGAGACCTTAGTGTTATAAAAGGACTCAAGAGAGACCTCTGTGACCAAAGGGCCACACTGTCGCTAAGAGACAGATATATATGCAGGCAGAACTTAAGTGAGGACTTTATTGAGGGAAGAGTAAAGAGGAGGGAAGAGAGAAAAAGAAATACAGAGGGGAAGAGGAAGATGAGGCAAGGACTAGCCTGCTTCTTCTTCTTCTTCTGAATAGAAGTAGTATGAATATAGAGTGGGAATGGGCACAGCTTGTCTCTTAAAGGGACTTTTGCATCTATGTATAGACTATATAGCGACATAGCAGCCATAGGACCCTGGGTACTGCCTGGATTCATCCTGCCAGGTGACAGGGTCCAGCACACTGCCTAATCCTAACACTTGGTATATCTCATTTTAAGGCTCTGATCTCCCAGATTCACACTACCAACTACAGTGGTGACATATCTAAGTATTAACATAATGGGAATGAAGAGGATGCTTAGATATCTTGACTTGGGGAACATACAATTTTCAGAGACAAATGTTGGAATAAGGATCTGAAAAAGATCATGTAGATATTAATATATCTTTTTTTTGAGTTTTGTTTCCCTGTGCTCACTCTATTTTGTTCTTTCTTTTAGTGCTCCTTGAGCACACACTGTAGATTTCATATTATACTGGGCAATAAGCAAGAAATATACTGCAGATTACAACAGGTGAATCGAGAACTTCTATTTCTATGAGGGAGAAAGATTCTAAACCATAAACTGTGAACATATTGAACTGAAATTATGATATGTGGGAAAGACGTTAGATGACAAAACTTTAAGGTTTACTAAATTGGTCTCTTGTGAGGAACTGATACATGAGCTAAATGTTAAATGACAGCAGAAATTAATAAGGGAGCTTTTTTTGGCAGAGATATTGCACATAAATACTCCACGGAGGGAAGATCCTGAAACTTTTATAACAATTGTGGTAGAAGAGAAATTGTCTTCTGAGTCATTTTGTCGATCTGGAAGGAATCTAAAGACTTCCTTTACATTTAATGTTTAAGAAAATATGGGGAATAGAACACTTAGATTATGGAAGGTAGAAAGTTCAAAATGGCAGGAAGTGGAAAAGAAGTTAAAGGAAATGCTCCCTAACCTCCTCAAGCTATGCCACACAGAGTTCCACTTGCTTTCTAGTCCAGGCTAGGTATTTTCTGCACGCGCTACAAAACACAAACTTGACGTCATGAAGGGATAGATGGGCCACTGGTTCCCCTCTCTATCACATTCAATTGCCAGAATTCCATTAACACCCTTTCAGGTTCCTATCTTTCTTACTCCAAGTACTGGGGCGGGCACTGAGCAGATTTAATTTCTTGGTTGTGGGGGTGGGGTCTGGGAAGTGTAGGTAAGACTGACAGATGAGTGCCGAGAATGTCTGTGCCACTGTGGGGGTGGTGTCTAGTCTTTTCTCTCTCACCAATAGCAGGAGAGCTGTGCATCACCAGCACTACCAGCACAAATCATATTTCATTTCATCCATGAAGATGTTCATTAGAATTTTTTATAGTTTCATAAAGAAAAGGTCTTGAATGTTGATTATTTTCCTTAGCAGCTACCTGTGGGAATTATGGTCACTCTCTGTTTTTTTTTTCTTTTTTTTTTTTTTTAACAAAGGGGGAAGCTACTAGAAAGCAGGCCTGAGAGACTCAGCCTTGTATGCAGATTTCCCCTTTCAAAGTCCCCTCTCCCTCTTAATTTCACTACTTAGAATAAATAGATCTTTATAATGGATTTCTTGATTCCCCTTTGGCTTGCTGAAGATGGGGCCTTGGACACATACTTTGCCACTGAATCCCATCACCAGCCCTCCCAGTTACAGAAATGCTTAGAGGTTTCACTGCCACTAGTTAAAACATACAAGAGTTAGCTCTAAGAGAAATGTCAGTTTGTCAATCCATCACTTTTCCTTCTTGATTTTATGAGGCATGTACATTATCAAAGCTCCAGATGGCTCGTACATTCCTGCAAAGTTTAGGGAATTGAACCTCCCTTAGAACAACACAGGTTCTGCTCTCTGACTTTCTCTCTAGAGAATCAAATACACTCCTATGTCAAGCAGGAATTATTCAGTGTTAATATGTTATATATTGAGCATTTCAAATTTGCACAAGTGTTGATTGAGGAAGTCATAAAATAGACGGAATCTTCCAAAAATTCTAATATAGATATCTATGTAACAATATTCTTTTCTCTGTATCAATATGAAACCCCCAAATACCTCCTTAAAAGAATTATATTAGTATGAACTTTTAATTAGAATAGACATAGTCTAATTGAAATCTTTCTGCCATATTCTTAGTCTGAAAAATAGAGGGGAGAAATGTGTAAGGACAAACATTTCAGCTCACTGAGCTGAGGTGTCTAGCATATACCCTGTCTCCCACGTTGTTTGGCTTCTCAGTCTGATTCTTCCAAAGGTAGGGCCAGGCTGCTTTAGGTGATGCTTTATGCTTCTGTATTTAACTTGAGAACAAGAAGAATACATATAGAAGGGCTTAAATAAGAACATAAGATCAGGTTGAGAATTTGTTTTATGTTTTGGCTTCTTGAGACAGGGTTTCTCTGTAGCTTTGGAGCCTGTCCTGGAACTCGCTCTGGTAGACCAGGCTGGCCTCGAACTCACAGAGATCCCCCTGCCTCTGCCTCTCAAGTGCTGGGATTAAAGGCGTGCGCCACCACCAGACTCCAGATTGAGTGTTTTTAAAATAACTGCACTGTGGTATAATTAGCACAAATTCAATTGGACCCATTTAATATGCATACTTAATGAAGCATGACATATTGATGAGAAAATTGTTCTAACCCAAAAAACGCAGAATTGCAAACACACACCCCCAATAATATACACAAAGAGTGGCTACAACAGCCTGAAAAACAAGTCAACCTTGAAGCAGAGAAAATATTTAAATCGTTACTGTATCAAAAATATACAAAATACACAAAATCACAGCTCAATCGTGCCACAAGGACATGTGCTTAACTATGTTCATAGCAGCTTTGTTTGTCATAGCCAGAACCTGGAAGCAACCTCAATCTCCTTGACCAAAGAATGGATAAGGAAAATGTGGTACATTTACACAACGGAGGACTACACAGCAGAGAAAATAACGACATCTCGAATTTTGCAGGAAAATGGATGGAGCTAGAAAACATTATTTTGAATGAGGTAACCCAGACACAGAAAAACAATTATCACATGTACTCACTCATAGGTGGTTTCTAAACATGAAGCAAATAAAACCAGCCTAAAAACCACAATCCTAGAGAACTTAGACAGCAATGAGGATACTAAGAGAGACTTACATAGATCTAATCTGCATGGGAAGTAGAAAAAGACAAAATCTTCTGAGCAAATTGGAAGCATGGGGACCTTAGTGGGGGTTGAAAGGAGATGGGGAGAGGCAGGGAGGGGAGTAGAGGGAAATGTAGAGCTCAATAAAAATCAATAAAAAACCAATGCTCAAAAAAAAGTGCTCAATGACCTCAGTAATGAGGGAAATGCAGACTTGTCTTTGAAAAGGTCGCTTGGTTTCCAGAGAAGCCACCAAAACGGTAAAATAGTTATTGCTATAGAATTAGGTGAAGCCCAAGAGTGGCTGCATTAAGAAGCCATATGAGCCAGGCCTTCACACTGTCATATTTAGAGTAAACTATAAGAAACAGCTGGTAAATTTTTGTCTTATTCATTTGAACACGTTGATGGAACTACCCACATACATTGTGCAAACAGGCACAGAACCAGTTCAGGTCTTTATGGGAAACAGTGTAACGCGCTATCATCTACCCTGCATAACAATAGGCTGTGTTCTCAGCTCTTGTCTTCTATATGTGCTGCAGAATGGAGTATAGGCACTGTGAGTTCAGGCTCAAGTTGGTCTAGTAGAGAAGCAGGGATTGCCTTGACAAACTCCTGCCTCTCTGAGCTGCAGAAAATGCCATTTCACTGGGGCCTACATCTACAAAGCACGGAAAATCTCAAGGTGAAGGGGGAATTCACAGAGCCCCCTCTAACTCCTCTATTAGAACCTTCCAGATATTCCGTCCTTCTTGTGCATTCTTGTTGTACACTGAACTGGAACTAACTATAGACAAAGCTCTCCACATTCCCACCACCCCATCCAGTTCCTGTCTCCCTACTTATTGCATTGTATTTAGGTTGATGTGGCCCCAGGAAGCAAAAATATCCTTTAAGATCTTACTAAATGATCCTCTGTACAGCTTTTCCACATTGATTCTACAGCCTGCTGAAGGAGGTGAATGAGAACACTCGCCTCTTTGTTTCTCTAACTCATTAGTGAATCCTAACCACACTTAGGTTCCTTTTCCATTCCGGTCTGGTTCTTACATTCTTAGAAAGAACTACAGGATCTTTAAATTCATTGTGTTTGTGTTGAGAGGGAGCCAGACTGTCATGTTTCATTGATACCCTGAGTAGGTCTCAAACAGAGTGCATCTAGGGACTGCATTCCGCCTATCCCCTGTATCTTTTCACAGTTTGGCACATTCTGGTCTGCATTTTGCTCTCCATGTAAATATAAAAGAAAATAAAATACAACATTCAGATGCCTTTGTCTCAAAAATCTGTCATTTTAGTGGGTTTTTCTTTAAGGGGGTCTTCATTGGCAACCAACATGTTTGTTAAGGAAACCAATCTGAATGTCTTATTGTCCTTCTCTTTCCTTTCCTCCCAGTTTGAGACTGCAGTTGCCAAGGTTTTTGTTTTTCTGAACCTGAAAAACCCCCTCTCTCTCTAGTCCTCTGGTCTCAGGCCCCACTGACTTCCTACAGAGCGTTCTCAGGCATCCGGACTGTAGTGCGTGCACTGGGAGGATCTTGACCTACTCCAATAACCCAGTGGCCTGAGCAAATCACAAGAAGGATTGGTGCCATCTGCCCAGCCCCTCCCCCGTGACAGCCTACTGGAAAGAGGGACAAGTTAGCCATTCAAATAATTGGCTTTTTGCCTGCTTCTTTTCCAAATAAGAAGGCAGGGGTTGCTGCTGAGGTGCAAAGCGTTTTCGTGGATTACAGTGGCGGTGAAGACCTGAGTTCCTCCAGCTCCTCCCTGTTTTCGGCTGACCGGAAAGGCAAGGATGGTGGACGCCTTCTGTGCCACCTGGAAGCTGACAGACAGTCAGAATTTTGATGAGTACATGAAGGCTTTGGGTGGGTAAAAAGAAGACTTGCTGTTCTCTTTTTAGTTCCGTAGTTTGATTCTTAGAAATTAACTTGCTAGGCTTCTGAGAGACAGGGTGAGCACATTGTCATAATATGCTAGACTATGCAGAGCCCACTTAAATGAATTTTTAATATGGCATTTTCTTACCTTCTTGCCCAGGACCAAATAAGCTTCTGTAATGTGTGTGTTTGTGTGTGTGTGTGTGTGTGTGTGTGTGGCGGGGGGGTGTTCAGTTTTCCTTTGTGCTCAGCTGTTCCATGGCTAATGGACTAATTAACCATCAATCAGGTTTGAACAGAACCTACACTTTAGAATTCTGGATTCTCCGAGTGGCAAGCAGATTTTGGCTTTATGAACTGTTTTGGAAGTCACTGTTACCTGCGCTGGCTACTTTTGCTGTTTCAGGTGTGGGCTTTGCCACCAGGCAAGTGGGAAATGTGACTAAACCCACGGTGATAATCAGTCAGGAAGGCGGCAAAGTGGTGATCAGGACCCAGTGCACCTTCAAGAACGCAGAGATCAGTTTCCAGCTGGGGGAAGAGTTTGAGGAAACCAGCATCGATGACAGGAACTGTAAGGTAAGAAGCCACCTTTTCAGGGTGAGGATGTGGAAGCGAGATGAATATGCTCAGTCCCTCTGCTGCGTACATGTGGAGAGGGGGAAGATTTCAGAATTTTCATTCAGGGGGAGGGAACCAGAGTTATCACTCCAGTGTACACAAGTTGTATTCTAGACGGAGTAATTTCCATAGCCAAAGTCCCAGCCTCTTTTCCCCTTGTCCAACACTTTTTACTTTTGGTAGCAACCTTTACCCAGAGAGTGTTGAACAGGGTTTATGTGAAAAAAAGACCACACCCTGTTTCTTCTCTCTGATCCCCTCAGTTTGATCATTTTTACACTAAAGCTTTGCTTCAACAGGAAGCGTGAGTTGTTCTGGGTTTTTATTTCAAATATTGAACATTTTTTTGTAACTGGTTGTATACATTTCAGCCAAATTACAAGTGGCCACATCTGTGGATAACAGTGCCTCTCAAAGCAATAGAAGATGAAGTGCTTCTAGAGCAATCACAGTGACGCACTCAATCACGGCACTCCCCAAAGTCCTGTCATTCCCCGTCTGTGGGAAATCAACTCCTATCTCTTAATCACCCGCATTTTTATTGTTAATCTCAGTCTGTTGTTCGGTTGGACGGAGACAAACTCATCCATGTTCAGAAGTGGGATGGCAAAGAAACAGACTGTGTAAGAGAAATTAAGGATGGCAAAATGGTTGTGGTAAGTACTAGCAGTTCTTCATTTTCTGCCCATGACCCCTTCTACCCTTCTTTCTTTCTTCCTTTCTTCTTGCCACCCATTTCCAAGCTTCTCTCCTTTTGCTCCCTCCCTTCTTTCTATAACATTGTGTGCCTGTCAAAGTCCCTTAATACCATGTAAAACAGGAGGAATGAAAAGAACAGGACAGTTGTTGGCTTGGCTTATGTGTACTTTTGAAATTATCCTCCAACTTACCCAGAAGTGTGTGTCAAGAATTGTCATTATAGGATTACTATGGATCTCCAACCTTCACCTGAAACTTAAATGTAAAATATTGTGCAGGAGAATATATGAAGATAGCTGATATTAAATCATAAAGTAACTGAACCAAGAGAAGTTACTTATTAGATATGGTCATAAGAACATTTTAAACATTTTACATTCCAGTTTATAGAAGCTCAGTGCAAATAATTTAAAGTTGAAGAAAAGATAAAGCTTTAATTTCTT